AGAGAGAGAGAGAGAGAGAGAGAGAGAGAGAGAGAGAGAGAGAGAGAGAGAGAGAGAGAGAGCAGACAAGAGGAGAGCAGACAAGAGGAGAGCCCAGTTCCGTTTTCGTTTACTCTTTTGGGCTGAGCGGCGGCGGCGGCGAGCCGGGCGCGCTGCGAAATTAAGGCAATCCAGCCGGCTTATTATTCCCTTTCCACCCGAAAACCTTTATGATTCCGGCCGTGTAGCTACGGGGCCACCAGGGCGCGCCGCCGAGTGCCTGATCCGCATGCGCGAGTCGCTCGTTTTATTCGTTGTTGCCGCCGTGTTGCGAACGGCAAATTAGCTCGGGCATCAAACAAATATCTGCGAGAGAGCGAACCGAACGAGGCTGTCGATGTATCGAAGCCGACGCAGAAGTAGCTGGGCAGCTGGGCGGCGACCGGTAACAGGAGCAGGCGGTGTCACTTCGATCTGAATCGCACACACGACGACGACGCGGAGCGCGGACTCTAGAAAATAATAATAAAACGTTGTGTCGAAAAGAGTCTGTTATAACGAAAGTTGTTTCGGGTCGCTTTCGTGCCCCGCGGCCCGCGGGCGCCGCGCTGCGCTGGGCTGGGCGGGCATTATCGCCCGGCCCGTGGCGCGGGATCGTATTATTGGCCCACGCGCGAATTAGCGGCGATAGTCTCGCGGGGAAAGGGGGGGGGGGCGAAAGGACGTATTCGGAAGCGGCCGCAGCGCGGGTCAAGTAGTGTCTGAAATTGCGTAATTTTTTTTCTGAGAGTGGGGAACACTTTGTTGACTGAGTTGATTACTCTCTATGATCAATGCGAGGATCAATGCTATGATAGAGTCACCCTTCCCAGGAGATTGAAATCATACGCGGATAAATTTGTCATTGATTACTACTATACAAACCGGAGCGCAGAACAGTGTACCGCTCCCCATTCGGCTCAATAGAAAGCACATCGTGCAAAGAAAAGAAAAAAAAGAAAAAAAAAACTACCCCGGCCCACTTGTTTTTGAAATGACGTAATTTTGTGTGTATGCGACTCTACTACTAGTAAGTGTGGCGTAACGCCCACCATCATCACTCAATCCGATTGGCCACCGGGCGGGCCGGTCGAGAGTGCGAGAGAAAGAGCGAGAGAGATGGGCGCGGCGAGCAGGGGAAGCGAGCGGGTGTGATTGAGGTGTGGGAGCGAGACGGCCCGACTACTACTATACGTATTGTGACGGCAGCTGAGGACGGGGGACACCGGAGAGGGGAAGCGCGCTCACCTCATACCTGACGTGGGTTCAAACACACGAGCGTCCCCGCCAGGCTCCACCACCATCACCACCACACAGGGCACGTTTGGAAGCAGAATGCCGGGTGTTACGTTTGGTGTTACAGAAACCCTACTTAAGATTACCCGCTATACGCGGTGAAAAGTGATGTCACACGACTTTAGTCGTTCTCATCTCTCCTCCCATAGAGTGTCAACTTGTCAGACAACCGGGAGAGGAAGCTAGCATTTTACTTCGAGGTGACAGCACCGGCTAAGGTACGGAGGCGTAAAGGAATATGGAAGGTGTCCGAAGGGGGGGTGGGGGGTATATTATGGGGTCCTCAAAGGTTCAGGGTGGTCATTTTAGTCCATAGGCACCCCATGCAATTTTTAGCCCAGAGTAAAAATATCATGGGGTCCCTACCGTCCTAAACCAATTGGGGTCCCGATAATGATTTGAATTCGCGTGTGTTTTTGTGCACGATCGCTTACAAGATGCTTCCTTTTGCAATGCCGTATCACTTCGTGGTCTGGGTACCGTCCGCGGCGTGGGCGACGAGGGGGAAGACCACACACACACATGCTGCAGCGCCGCAGCCTCCCTCCCGACGGAGATCTCCTTCCGGCTGAGCGCCACGGCGGTGCGGCGGCGGCCCGCTGGAGTGCGACCTCTCTCTCTCTCTCTCTCCCTCTCCGTCCCTCTCCCTTTCTCTCTGTCCCTCCCTTCTGGACCGGCCGGGCCGGGGGAGAGAGAGGCTGGCCGGGTATATAAGCGGGCGGCCGCCCGGGACCCTCAAGCAGTCCGGCAGAGACCTCCCCGCTTCACCCATCGCTCAAGCAAGATGGCGCAGAGGCTGGCGGTAAGTCCACAGTGATAACGAAGTGATAACTCCAGTGAAAGTGATGAACAAAGTGACAAAGCAGTGCAAAACGGCAAATGGATACGGCCGCATCGCCCAACAAACCCGACGGATTATTGTTTTACCGTGACGTGTTTTTTTGTGCTTTTGCACGCAGTTCAGCTTGTGTGTTTGAGTGTGTTTTGTGAGATATAACACTGAAAAAGCTTTTCACGTAGTGGAAGAGCGGGCTGAAAATATCTAGGGAAGTTTGATTTGTATGGGAGGGATATCGTTCCTTGAAGGGGAGGGGGGTGGATGGGGGGACGGGGTACACATATTATGGTATCTGAATCATATTTGGACTTTATAGAAACTTAATAATATTTTTACCCCCCGGGGTACAAATATCATGGATCTCTATGCACTTCAATTGCGGTTCTGCTAATCTATTTGGGACCGCGTGGTATTTGTACCCTCCCCCTAGCGCACACAGTATGCGCTCCCGCACATCAGTCATCAGTTTCCGCTAACTCTGATATATTGTGATCACGATTGTGCTCCTGTTGTGCCGGCAGCTTTCGGGCGCCTTGCTCGCTGCCTGCCTCGCAGTGATGGTGACGTTCGGGGCCGCCTCCTTCTTCGGGAAAGAGCAGTAAGTACAGCGTCGTACAAAAGTGTTACCCGGCGAGGTGAACAGTGAAGGTGCCGACCATATTGCTAACGAACCCCCCGCTACTCCGCAGCATCCACCTCAGGATACACCTCCCCGAGCCAGAGCACCACCACCCGCCCCCACACCATGAAGAACACCACGAGCACCACGACCATGGGGGCGGCGGTGGCGGCTTCGGGGGCGGCGACATCTCCTTCAGCGGCCCAAGCGGCGGTGGCGGCGGCGGCCACGGAGGCCACGGCGGCGGTGACATCAGCTTCGGTGGCTCCGGCGGCGGCGGCGACCTGGGCGGCCACGGGGGCGGCGGTGGAGGCGGCGGCTACGGCGGTGGCGGAGGCCATGACGACGTGTCCTTCACCGCCCCCGGCGGCGGAGGTGGCGACCACCACGGAGGAGGTGGAGGTGGATTCGGCGGCTCGGCCAGCGGAGGATACGGTGGTGGCGGTGACGACCACCACGGAGGCGGCGGAGGTTTCGGAGGGTCCGGCGGCGGCGGGTACGGCGGCGGTGGTCACGGCGGTAAGCACCACACTTTTATCGCCTTTGAATACGGGTTCAGTTTTACAGAGCGTTCTCAAGGAGAGTGCGTCTATTTTACGTGTAAGAAAACTTCCAACAGGACTGAAGGGACTTACTTATGGTTTGCAGGAGACGACCATCATGGAGGTGGCGGCGGCGGTTTTGGAGGCTCCGGCAGCGGCGGGTACGGAGGCGGCGGCGGCGGCGGTGGTTACGGAGGCGGTGATGACCACCACGGCGGCGGCGGCGGCGGTTTCGGCAGCTCCGGAGGCGGTGGATACGGGGGCGGTGGCGGCGGCGGATACGGAGGCGGAAGCGACCACCACGGAGGCGGCGGCGGCGGATTCGGAGGCTCTGGATTCGGCGGCGGCCATGGAGGCGGAGGCGGCGGCGGATACGGAGGCGGAAGCGACCACCACGGAGGCGGCGGCGGCGGTGGATTCGGCGGCTCTGGATTCGGCGGTGGCTACGGAGGCGGCGGCGGCGGTGGCCATGGAGGCGGCGGCGGCGGCGGATATGGCGGCGGCGGCGACCACCACGGTGGCGGAGGCGGTGGGGGCGGACTCGGAAGCTACGGAGGCTCCAGCTTCGGAGGCGGCCACGGGGGCGGCGGAGGCGGCGGTCACGGAGGTGGCTTTGGAAGCAGCGGCGGCGGCGGCTACGGCGGCGGCGGCGGCGGCCACGGTGGTGGCGGCGGCGGTGGCGGCTACGGAGGTGGCGGTGGCGGTGGCCACGGAGGTGGCTGGGACAAGAAGAAGTAAGAGAGACACAGACTGCATCACCAGCGGAAGGACACTTCCGCACTCAAAGCCATTCCTGAGAACCCTGTAATCATCGCAGCCATCTCACCTAGACAATCTTCACCCTCATCGTCATTATCATCATCATCATCATCATTTTCATCCCCATCATCGTCATTCACCATCCATTCATCTCCACTACTCGATGCCATCCGTCCGACCGCCGCACCACACCACCACCACCACCACCACCATCGCCGTC